AAGGAAATAATATATATGGTTAACAAAATAATCGGTTTTGGGCATGAATCGATACGGGAGGGGCGAGTACCGGAACCGACCCAATTATTTATTTCAACATAATAATGGAGCCGGATCCTTTATAAATGGTTGAGTCGATTCGGGCCAGCCGGGTAGACCTGAACCGTTGACAGCCCCTTCAAGAACATGAACGATGATAGCGATTGTGCTGCAGCAAGGTTGGTATCCCTTTTCCTTCTCCCTTCAGACCTGTACTACGAGGTAAGGACCTTCCAAAACCGCACTCGATGTTCGTACCTTTGTTATTGGGGCATAAGATTTTGTCCTGCGAAGTTGGTTTTGGATTTTCACGAATTAATAAATTCTACTAATGCAATTTCTGCCTTGTCATTGCATGAACGTTCTAATGGGTTCGGATTGTCAACTGCCGTATCAGAATGACAGCCATAGGGTAAGCCACCATTGGTTATATATGTTGGAACTTTTTATAAGGGCTTCTCTTGCTTTATTGCCGTTTTTTGTGGTTGTAACTTCTTTTAACTTTCAAATACTCCCCATGGCTTCTACAGGCATCGCCACTTCCATGAGATTGCGTCATTGGAGCAGATTCAAACGTTCGAATTGGAGAAGTAGTCCGCCGAGGCCTTGCATACGCCGGAGTCCAGAAAAAGCCACTCTAACCCTCTTCTTCTATACTCACTTGTAAACTATTTCTAGTCCACCTGTTCCTGATTAGATATTCTTGGCAGGTGAAGGGCGTGAGCGCAAAGGAGACTCGGAAGCGATACGGATGCGGAAGCTGTACAGGTATGGGTTTTTTGTACAATGTCTGCATACCTAAATTATATCATTTTTGGAAGACAAGGTCTGTCGGTCGTGGCAGTGGCTATAATATCCTTGGGTCTTATGGGTGCAGGCACGGAGAATGCTCGACTTGCAGGCAAGCTCTGCAAAGCTCTCACGGCTTTACTATGAGGAAGCTGGTCCAATCTTCCGTGTAAGCTTCTCAACTCTCCACTTCATTTTGTGTCCTCTTCTGGGTGTATGGCTTTATAATTCGCTCTGGTTAATTGCTTAGTTTTGGACTCCTCGAGGCGTTGATACTTTTGGGGAGGGCATTCCGACTATATCGCGCCATACTATTGTTTCCGCTTTCCGTTAATAATGTAAGTATATCTGACACATCCGGGTGGGATCCGGGTCCGGTCTAGGTAGAAGCACTCCCGAGTTGATCATTAATTGGGACAAAACCTTAGACCCAAAACCGTTAATTTTAACTTAAAATTTAGGTTGAAACAAAAACATAGGTTTAAGACCGAACAATTTAAGATAAAAAACACCACTTTTCTTATTTAAATCGCAAACTAAAATTTAAACTTTAAACATAGATCGTTAATAAA